CTCGGCGGGGGGTCTGCTTCTCCCTCTGACCCTCTTCCCTCTCGTGCTGTCTCTCATTCTCTCTCTCAAATAAATAAATAAATAAAATCTTTAAAAAAAAACAAAAACAAAAACAATGAAACCAGTTGCAAATACAACAGGGTATTGGAGACTCCTTTTAACCGAGTTAGAAAGAAATGCTAAATTGACAGGCACATGAAATTTAGAGATCTCACTGGATTTCATTAACAAAGGCTATTTTAAAACTAAAACTAATACTTCCATCCTATAGACTTAAATTTTTTTTGGCATAATGAGAAAAGTTATGAAAATTCTTTTGGGGATTACTGGTTTTTTCCATTTTATTTTCATGCTGTCCTCAGACATGTACCCCACAAATCCCCTGTGGCCTATCCTCCTTTGCCAATCCACTCTTTTTCCATTGCCCATTAAAAGATAGGGTCTCCAAGTGTGTTTTTAAGTATTAGAGACTAAATTTATGTAAAGGTAATATCTCAAGTGTGAAAATATGTTTTCTGTAATACTGTCATCAGCTACTGCGTAACATCACCCCACTGCGTAACAAGAAAAAAAAAATTTTTTTAAAGCTCAGCTCATTTGTGAGAATATCACAAGCTCCTTATTTTCATATCCAAACTTCTCATATATGTAAACTTCCATATTTTATCTTAAGACCACATAATCTTTCCAGACTTCTTCCATTTCCCTCTTCTGCTTATCATTAATAAATCAGTCTAGCCTATTATTACTTCTCTTAATGCCCCTTTTCTTAGAGGGGGAGGGGGAGGGGGAGAGGAAGAGGGAGAATCCTTTTTTTTTTTTAAGAGGTTAAGTAATTTTTTAAAAAGATTTTATTTACTTATTTGACAGAGAGAGAGAGCGCACAAGCAGGGGGAGCGGGAGAGGGAGAAGAAGGCTGCCTGCTCAGCAGGACTTGATCCTAGAACCCTGGGATCATGACCTGAGCCAAAGGCAGACGTTTGACTGAGCCACCCAGGTGCCCAGGAGAGAGAGAATCCTAAGCAGACTCCACACCCAGCACGGAGCCCAGAGCGGGACTTGATCCCACAACCTTGAGATCATGATCCGTGCTAAAATCAAGAGTCAGATGCTTAACCGACTGAGCCACCCGGGCGCCCTCTTAATGCCTTTAAAACCTAGTGTCCAGGGGCGCCCGGGTGGCTCAGTCGTTAAGCGTCTGCCTTCGGCTCGGGTCATGGTCCCAGGGTCCTGGGATCAAGCCCCGCATCGGGCTCCCTGCTCGGCGGGAAGCCTGCTTCTCCCTCTCCCACTCCCCCTGCTTGTGTTCCCTCTCTCG